TACTGTTATTTGTCACTGGCCAGAAATGCTCAGTTATTTCTCCCCAGGTGATATACAGTTTAACATCTAGAAAAATAAATCAGAGGCTGGACTCTTCAGGCATCAGCTGGCAGGTGCTCAGGGGTCTTCATGCCAGGGAGCTTTCTTGGAGGCTGAGCCTGTGGCCAACAGTAAAAGAGAAACCTGGCTGATGTGTCCTTCTACCCTGGGTGGCTGGGGTGCTCACTCCTAAATAATATGCTGCATGCAATTTGATTTCATTTCATTCTAAATTGCCCAGTCTGCATCCAGGGATGCAAAGGGAAGCCTTACAAATCAGTTCTGCTGTGCAAATAAGCAGGTGCCTGCTAACACAGGGTGGTGGGGAGGCTGGAAATGAAGCCAGCTTCAAAGTGGGTAAGCAATGATTGTAATTTGTCTTTGGGGGTCAAACTGAGCTTGGAATACAAAATGGTTTTCAAATGTTGCCTTTGGGTGGCATATGTTCTGTGAAGATGGGCTCCATGCAGGGTGCGTTGCTGTGGCTGCGGTGACAGAAGGAAGGGAACCTGCCTCCTTGTGCTTTGAAATGCTCAAAGCAGGAGAGCACCTGAGACCTCAAGCATTCAGTCCAATAAACAGAGGTTCAACCTGGGGAGGGCCGAGCTAGATTGGTCCTGTTATTCCAAGTGGAAATCATTCTGTTCTGGGTCAGATTGAGCCCCTGTTTTATACCCATCTTTTATCCACCTGCTATTGTTTTTTATGTGCTGCTTTAAATCCTGCCCCAACCACCTGGGTAATGTTGGGTTTTTCGTACCTGTAGGGGCCAGAACACCAACCAGATGAAGACAGGCTCTATTTATTTTTTTTTTCAATCTTTTGAGACAGGGTCTCCCTGTAGCCCCAGCTGGCCTGGAACTTGCTATATAGAGACCAAGCTGGTCTTGAACTCACAGAGATCCTTGCCTGCTTCTGCCTCCCAAGTGTTGGGATTAAAGTCTTGTGCCACCACACCCAGGGAGACAGGCTCTTTTAATTAGTATTCAGTCCCGGCTTTGGTGACAAAGACTTCTCCCCCAACTCTCAAGTTTGGGACCATTTTTTTTTTTTAAGACACAGACATATAACTCAGGCTGGCCTTGAACTTGATATTTAGGCAAAAGGACTTTGATTTTTTTTTTTTTTTGTCTTGGTCTTTTTTGAGACAGCGTCTCCTGGTAGCCTCAGCTGGCCTGGAACTTACTATGTAGACTAGGCTGGCCTTGAACTAGGCCTGCCTCTGCCTCCCCAATACTGGGATTAAAGGCATGCGCCACTATACCCACCCATGACTTTGAAATTCAATCCTCCTGCCTCCACTTCCCAAGTGCTGGGATTACAGGCATGTATCACCATACCTGGTGTATGCTGTGCAAAGGAATAAACCCAGGGCATGGTACATGCTAGACAAGTGCTTTTTACCAACTGAGCTACATCCCTACCCTGGAACCAGATTCTTAGACCAGATCCCTGCTGTGTCCCTCTGGCTTTTGACTCTGTCAGTCTCCACCTTTGCCCGCCAGAATACCAGGATCTATAGAGAGAATAGCTGCAGGCTAAGGGACCTAGGTGGACTCTTTCAGGTCAGCCAGAAGCCCAATCCTTGATATCTAACACCCTTCATATCAGATCAGATTTCTCATTCTTCACTATCCCCAGGTAAGGTCTGATTGATCCTGGCTTGTCTTCAGCAAGAATTCTATTAGGTTGATACATGAGATCCTGTCTCAAATTAAGATGATTTGTTTTTTTAAAAAGTTGAAATAAGACAGGGAGACCCTGTCTCAAAAAAAAATTGAAATACACCTTCCTGTTTCATAGGTGAGGTGTCTAAGCTGCTCCCTTCCTCTTCCTCCTCCTCCTCCTCCTCCTCTTCCTTCATTTATATTGATCTTGAACTCACGGAGATCCTCCTACCTGAGCCTTCAGCTTCCCTAACACTAATATCACAGGCCCGTGCCACCAGGCCAAGCTTTCAAGTGTGTTGTTTTGTTTTGTTTTGTTCTGTTCTGTTTTGTTTTGTTGTTTTGTTTTGAAACAGCATCTTTCTATATAGCCCTGCCTGGCTTGGAACTCTCTATATAGACCAAGCTGTCCTCCAACTCACAGAGATCCTCCTGCCTCTGCCTCTGAAGGGCTTGGATTAAAGTTGTACACCACTACACCTGGCACAAATGTGACTTTTTGCTCACTTTCTTTACCATTCTGTGGGAACTCTCCACTAGAACCTCAAGAGGCATCACTAACTGTGTTCTGTATGGGGCTTTTCAGTTTTTCAGTGCTGGGGTTGGAACCCAGGGTCTCATGCATGCTAAGCATGAGCCCTACCCTGAGCACCTAGCGTCTCATACTGTGTGTGTGTTTTAAAGGAGAGCTTCTTCTAGCAAAGAAGGAGATAACACAAGTGAGTCAGGACAAGCGGAAATTCTAACCACCTTCCCCTCCTCTCAAAGCAAAGGGGAAGCTAGAATGTGCTGTGGCTTGACTTTGATCATAACTCATAGCAGTCACCATTGTAATCACTTGCCTCCACCAACCTACTCCTACATAATATTTTATTTTTAATTGGGGTGTGTGTGTGTGTGTGTGTGTGTGTGTGTGTGTGTGTGTGTGAAGTGTATATGTGGAGGTTAGAGGAAAACTTGCAGTAGTTGGTTGGTTCTCTTTTTCTACCACGTGGGTCCTGGAAATTGAACTCAGATAGTCAGGCTTAGCAGCAAGCACCTTTACCCACCAAACCTTCTTACCAGTCCTATAATTTGTCTTTCAAAGGTTATAATGGTTTTGAAACCATTATAATCAGTGGTTCTGCCAGGTGTGGTGGCTTACACCTGTAATCTCAGCATTTTGGAGGCTGAAGCAAGAGGACTGCCAAGAGTGTGAGGCCAGCTTGGGCTGCAGAGTAAGACCCTATCGTGAACAAACAACACCAGTAGCTCTTAGCTCCCAGGAGACGGTGGCAATATCTGAAAGATTTTTGGTTGTCACAGCTGGGCGTGGAAGGAGATTTGGGGGCACAGTGAGTGCATCCAGCAGACAGAGAGACTAGGCACAATGCTAGATGGTGCATAGACCACCTTCCCATGAAGAAGAACCATCTGAACCCAAAATGACTGTAGTGGTAAGATTAAGCTGGGGCTGGAGAGAGGGCTCAGGGGTTAAGAGCACTGGCTGCTCTTGCAGAGAACCCAGGTTCAGTTCCCAGCACCCACATGGTGGCTAACAACTGTCTGTAACTCCAGTGCCAGGGGACCGAACACCCTCTTCTGGCCTCCACAGGAATTGCACACACAGGTGCACTTACATACATGCAAACAAACACTCATACACATGAAATAAAAAATAAGCTGGGTGTGGTGGTACATGCTTTTAGTCCTAGCACTTGGGAGGCAGAGACAGGTGGGCCTCTGTGAGACTGAGGGGAGCCTAGTCACATAGCAAATTTCAGGCTACCTGGGGCTACAGGGAGAACCTGTCTCAAAAAGACCAATAGGGCTGAAGAGATGGCTCATTGGTTAAGAACACTGACTATACTTACAGAAGACCCAGGTTCGAATCCCAGCACCCACATGGCAGCTAACAAACATCTGTAACTCCAGTTCCAGGAGCTCTGGTGCCTTCTTCTGTTCTCCATTAGCATAACACAGGTACATTTATGTACAAGCAGGCATTAACACTCATATGCATAGAATAAAAATAAATCAAAAAATTTTAAATTTCAAAAAGAAAGTAACATCAAACTAAGGCAACATAGAAGGGAGAATTAGTCTCCTATCACCTAACTAGTTCAACAAAACGGACCTCTCCCCTTTCTGTGTTCCTCCTAGCCTCTGCCCTACCACAGGTACATACATTCCCATAGCTCTGATAGTCCTGACAAGAACACATTCCAGTTTTCTTCACTTGATATTACATTTTGAAATGTGGTTCGTCTTACTTCAATGTCCTGTCAATTATCGTGTGTGTGCATGCACACACATGTGAGTGTGCATGTGTGTGTGTTTGGAAGCTAGAGGTTGATGTTGGGTGTTTTCCTCAATTGGTTTGCCTCATTTTGTGAGACAGTGAACCCGGGGCTCACTGATAGTCAGACTGGCTGGCCAGAGAGACCCAAAGATCTTTCTGTCTCTACCTCCCCAGTGCCAGAATTACACACACCCACTGCCTGCCATCCCTGGTGCTTGGAATCCAAACTCAGGGCCTCATGCTTGCACAGTGAGCACTTTGCCCACTGAGCCATCGCCCAGCTTTTCATTTACCACTTTTAATAGATGTAATATAAAACTGGAAACAGGCCGATACCGCAGATCTTACCTGATCAGTCCAAGCTTCTTATTGGAGGTGATGGGGAACAAGGGGGCAATGTTTACCAAGTGTCCTCACCAGTGCTCTGGTTCTATGGTCCTGCTATGGCCCACCTCCTCTTCCCATAGTCCAGGCTTCACCATCACAGGCCTCATCATCAAAAAGCCTTTATGAAGCACCTTGTGAGTACATCATCCCACTGGTGGGAGCTGAGGGAGGGGATCTTCCACAGAGATCACCTTACCAGCCTCTGACATCCAGGGTGGGCTGGCTCAGACAGACAGCATACATGTTAGCCAACCGTGAAAGCATCTGAAAACCAGGCCATAGGCCACAGGCAGAGTGCAAACACAGATTCTTAGGCAACATTCATGCCAAGGGTAGGCACAGCTGGGAATGCAAAGACAGGCTGCATTTGCAGAGCTAGCCTGGCCCTTGGAGCCCAGCTGAATGGGGACTGTTTGGAGGATATGGGATCTGAGAAGCTCCTGGGAGAAAGTGGAGAGAGATAGGAAAGGAGAAGAGTAGGCTGGCTTGTCAAGGAACTGTTCAAGTGCCTAGAGTCACAGTGTACCACCTAGAAGGAAACTCAGTGCAGGGCACAGACATCCCTCCCTGACACCTTCAGGCCACTGCTCGTCTCACCTCGTTGCCCCTCTGTCTTCCCTCCACAGGTGTTCCATGAGCAAGGCATCCTCTTTGGCTACCGACATCCACAGAGTTCTGCCACTGCCTGCATCCTCAGCCTTTTCCAAATGACCAATGAGACCCTCAACATCTGGACACACTTGCTGCCCTTCTGGTACTTTCCAGCCCCCCTGGATCATCCCATCTCATTCTGGGTCCCCAGAGACTAGACTTCTTAGATCATAGCTGGATGGCAGGGAGATTCTGAGCTGGGGTTAGGGGTCCTCCTGTGGGTGCAGGTGCACGTGTGGCAGAGGAGGGAAATGCATATCATGCTGTGGATTGCAGTAGGATTCCTGGGTTTCCACTGACCGAGTAGCATTTGTCTTCATCCCCTTCAGTCTTGCTGGCTTTGCTTGTCTTCAAGAAGTCCTTATTAAATTGTCACAAACTTGAAAAAGTCACTTAATCTTTCTGAGCCTTGCATTTTCTGTCTGTAGAACAGGTATAATCATTTGTCCCTTTCTTGAGACTGCTGTGAGGACTTGGGGGGAGAACCCTGGTAAAGATAAGGATACAGGACTGCAGATGTATAGAGTTTCTAGAGTGCTTGCCTGGTATACAAGAAGCCCTGGGTTCTGAACCCAGTACTACATAAACCACCAAGCATGGGAACCCATGCTGTAATCCTAGTGGTCTGGAGGTAAAGGCTGGTGTACGAGATGTTCAAGGTTATCCTCATTTACATCATAAGTTTGAGGCCTGCCTGGGCTACATGAAACCCTGACTCAAACAAGCAAGCAAACAAGCAAACATAGGCAAAATTGTGTGTGCTTGAAACTGTTTGAGAATCATAGCAAATATAGGCCTTTGGTCACCTTTAATGGAGCTGGCTAGGATCTGGAAGGATGAAGGACTGGGGCTCTAGGAAGGCTTCTTACTGAGAAGGCCGGGCTAAGACCAGCTTCACATATCTTGTGCCTTTGCTCAATGATGGAGAAGTGGGACAGGGTCATACCACCACATCATGGTAACTGTGGGGATTGGTTCTAGGCTCTCCTAAAGATACCAAAGTTTGCAAGTTTTCCCTTATATCAAACAGCATAGAATTTACACATATCCTGTGCACATCTTCCTGTACTTTAAATCATCTCTAGTTTCAAATACCTGATACAAGGTAAATGCTGTGCCAAAGGTCGTTATACTGTTCAAATAATGAGGACAAGAAAACAATCTGCACATGCTCAATACAGATGCAGCTCCCTCCCCACAATCTTTGGTGGAATCTGAGAACACTAAGCCTACAGGAGGAATGACTGTATATCAGAGCTGGGGGGACCTCAGATGTCAGCTGGTCACTGTCCCACTCAGACTCCGGGGGGCCGATACAGGGATGGCCTCCGTACATTATGTGGATGATGACCCAGACTGTCCTGAACAAACTTGAGAAGCTGAGAGAGTTGGAGAATCCCTGAGTGTGCTGAATGGACACAAGTCCCAGAAAGGTCCATGGGGAGCAGCCAGCCTGACAGGATGTGGAAGTAGTCAGCTAGACCAGATGTGAGGGCAAGGTGCAGATCCAGCAACCATCCTGGGAGCGGAGAGAGAAAGCTCAGTCTTGGAGCATATTGGAATGATCTGTAGAGGAGCCTGACAGCCCTGGACAGTGGCAGCAAGGTACAATGGCTCAGAAAAGCCATTGTTAAATGGCCATGTTAAATTTCTGCTTACATAAAAACCTGGGGCTGACCAGATGGTTTAGCAGGTAAAGGCACTTGCCGTGCAAGCCTGGCAACCTGAGTTTAATCCCCAGAACCCATGTACAGATGGAAAGGGAGAAACTCCACGGAGTTGTTTTCTGGCCTCCACAAGGCATGCGCATACACACTCCCCAATACATACAATAATAAAATTTTTTAAATTTAAGTTTGCTTGCTATCTCAGGGTGGTGGTACATAGCTATCTATAATCCTTGTAAAGGTTGAGGCAGGAAGATCATGACTTTGAGCCAACCTGGGCTACACAATGAGGTCCTGTTTCAAAATTGTATCAACACCAACACATACCTGCTGATATAACACTACAGAATAGAGTCAGGTTGTTCCTTCTCCTTCCTAGAGCTGCTGGAGCTGTATGTTTCTGCGTACCCTCTGCAGATCTCCGAGATAGCCTCAATTGTGACATGTATACTCTAGCCCCCCTGTTATTTCTTTCATGGTCTTCCACTGCTTATCTCCCTCAGAGCTCACACCGTTTACCTGAGACACTAGACTTCTAAGCTATTGCTCTCACTGATGGATGGGCCATGGTTGGTTTAGGCTGTTTTGTTGGTTTATTTTAGTTTCTTGAGTCTCATGTAGCCCAGGCTGACCTGGAACTCTACATAGTTGAGGATGACCTTGAACTCCTGGTCCTCCTGCCCCTACCTCCCAAGTACTAGGAGTATAGGCATGCACCATCATCATGCCTGCCTCAGTTTAGGCTGTTAAGAGATGTGTGCCACTGTGTAGTACCCACCCACCATTGTCTATGTGTCTTGAAAAGGTCTATACACAGCTTAGCCACTCCCCTACTTATAGCTCCCTACAACCAAACTAGACTCTCAGATGATCCAAGTAAACAGCACAGAGCAGCAGGAAGAGCCCAGGGAAGTGTATTAGGACACCCCAGGAAACCAGATGAGGAACAATCTGTGGTTGATAAAAGGAAATTTGGGGGAACTGCAAACAGTTTAAGCATTCCTTCTGTTGGACAAGAAGAAAGACTACAAATGTAGCCAGAAGGGTCTCATGAACCTCTGTCAGTTCCTGGATAAAGAGATTTGTAGTCTCCTTCCTTGGAGGGTGTTCTGGTTTGTTTCTTCATTGCTGTGACAAAATACTCTGACCACTACCAACTTGGGGAGGAAAAGGTTTATTTAGCTTACATATCCCAGGTCACAGTTCATCCGGGAGTCCAAGGTAGGAACTCAGGGCAGGAACCTAGAAGCAGGAGCTGGAGCACAGGCCATGGAGGAACGATGCTTATTGGCTTGCTCCCCTGGCTTGCTCAGCCTGTTTTCTTATGCAACATAGGCCCACCTGCCCAGGGGTGGCACCACCCACAGTGGGCTGGGCCGTCCCACATCACTCACCAAGAAGATGCCCCTCAGACATGGCCATAGGCCAGTCCAATAGAAGCAATTCCCCAACTGAGGCTCCCTCAACCCAGGTGTGTCAAGTTGACACTAAAGCTATCCAGCACAGAGTGCTTTCATGGGAATAGGGTCTGGTCTCCAGCAGTGGTTTATAGAAGGCAGGTGTTGTGTAGGCAGGCCCCTGTGTGTGGGTTGTAGAACAGGTAGGCATGGCTCAGAATCAGGCAGTACCGCTGAACTCTCCAGTACTGAAAGCTGCCATGAGAGGAGATGAGCCCCTCATCCTTAGAGGCATGCAAGCTGAGGCTGGGAAGTATCCTGGAAAAGATGCCAAAAGAAGGAGTCCATCCCTAAGAGCTCTTCCTATCCTGCCTGCTCATTTCCAAATTACTGCCTGGAGTTAGCACACCCCACCCTCAGCCTCTCTAGTAGATAGTAGTTCACCAAAGTGAGGCCTCCAGGGGATGGATCATGCACAGATGGGGGGGGGGACAGAAAACAAGCCAGAGGAGATTGAGTGGAACATGCTCTGTTCCAGGTTCTTTGTGTGGAAGTTCGTGACTGCACTGTATATGACGGACATTCAGAATGACAGCTATTCATGGCCCATGCTTGTATACATGTGCACCAGCTGCGTGTACCCCCTGGCATCCAGCTGTGCACACACCTTCAGTTCTATGTCCAAGAATGCCCGGCATATCTGCTACTTCCTGGACTATGGTGCCGTCAACCTCTTCAGCCTGGGTATGTGAGATCCTGCTCTTTTGTCCCCTTCCCTGAGACTGCCACCTTCCTAGTCCCCTGTGAGCTTTGATAGGTTTGTGGAAGAGTCATGAGACCTTGTCCAACCTCCTGAGGAGAGCTCTGTAGAAGCTTGTCCATATGTGTGCTGTCTGGGGACATAGCCCTGACCTGTAGTAGTTGCCAATTACTGTGGTGTAAATGTTCCCTCCATGCCCCTCTTCCTGTTCCCTGTGTGGGATCACCGGATGCAAAGGTCTGAGAAGTCAGGAGCACACCACTACATACTAATTCCTACACATGGATAATAGGTACTAAGTACTTAGGACTTCTGCTACTCTGATTTATTTAATTGTAAGCTTATGCCATTGAACTTTTAATGATTAACAAACTAGTTTGCAAGAACTTGGGAACTGCCACAATTGACTCTCACAAGTCAGCATGTGCTGAACCTCAGCACCCCAGGGGTGGGAGCTGGCAGACCTGCCAGAGAAAGGAGGGTGGGGTCACAAATTCCATTTATCCAGAGACTTAGAGAGGCATCACAGGCTTTCCCAAAGTACCACAGAAACAGAGTGGTGAATCTGTTGAAGTGGAATATCGCCACTCCCAGCCTCCTTGAGTTTTGCTTTAACTAGATTGCTCCTCTTCCTGCTGCTGCTCTCCTCCATGTGAGCCTCCATCTCCAGGATGCTGTGCTCACTTCATCCCACCCAGTCCTGCTCTAGATATGAAAGTCAGTTGCTACCTTAATTTTGAAAGCATTTGTCTAAGAGGAGCCCACAGTCATCATCCTTTTTCCTCCTCTCTCTTCCTTCCCAAGGGCACCTGCATGAATGTGTGACACATTCTTTCTCTCCTTTCCCCTATCTCTCTCTCTCTCTCTCTCTCTCTCTCTCTCTCTCTCTCTCTCTCTCTCTCTCTCTCTCTTTTCTCCCCACCCCCCCCCGCCCCCTCCATTCACTAAAACTGTTTGCCAAGACCCCAACCTCCTCCTCCTGACAGCTAGGTCCCAGGAGGACCTCCTGAGCCATCTCTCCTGCCTCTGACCCTGGAGCCCCTGTTGTGTCCTCTGTCTTGGTTTCCCTCCTCCCTGTTCTTACTCTTTTCTGGCCTTCCGCCTCTATTCTCCACCGTAGTTGGGCATGCTCTGAATCGGTTTTTTTCCTGACATGTCCATCCCCTAACACCTCTAGACAACGTGCTCCTTAACCCTATCTTTAAACAGCTGAGCCTGAAGCCACTGACTGAGCTAACCCCACCCCTGCCCCTCCTTTCAGGTTCCTGACTAGAGGTGTCACCACCTGGTTCAGGTCAGAATTCTAGTAACCCATTCCTCCTCCCCTACCTCTTCTTCCCATACTATCTAATCAGTGATCAAGTTCAATCCAGTCTCATGAATTCCCAGATCCTCACCATCAACTTGGCTCAGATCCCGAGCCTGCCCAGGAGGGTTTCTGCCTGACCACTGGGACAAAATCCAAACTCCTCTGCCTAGTGGCTTCCGGAGGATTCTTTTATTTTTGTTTTGTGTTGTTTTCCCCTCCCTCCCTCCCTTTCTTCCTTCTTTCCTTCTTTTCTTCTTTCCTTTCTTCCTTCCAACACTGGACCTCCAACTTACTAAGTAGCCCAGGATGGCCTTGACTTCTGATCCTCTGGTCTCTATCTCCTAAGTGCTGGTAAATGGGCATGTGCCACTACACTCAGTTTATGCAGTGCTGGGGATGGAACCCAGGGTTTTGTGCATACTAGGCAAACACTCTACAAACTGAATCACATCCCCAGCCCCTTCTTGGGGTTTCTAACAAGATATATTAGTTACTTTTCTGTTGCTGTGATAGAAACACTGACCAAAGCAACTTACAGAAGGAAGAGTTTGAGCTTACAGTTCCAGGGAAATTACAGTCAAGGCAGGGAGGCATGGTGGCAGGAGGTGGCTGGAGCAGGAGCATTAGAAGCTAAGCGCTCACATCTTCAAGCAGGCACAGGAAGCAAGAGAGTGATTGGAGATCTGGCAAGGCTTAAAAACTCTCTAAGCCTGCCCCCCATGACATGCTTCCTCCAGCATTGCCACACCTTTAAGACCTCCCAAAACAGCACCACCAACTGGGGACAAGATGTCCAAATACTTGGAACCTGTGGGGGACATTCTCATTCAAACCACCACACAAGAGTGAGCATTTTGAAGAGTCCTATGAGGCCAGATCTATGCTGAACCCCTGAGATACATCTTTTTTCAGAAAGATCTATTTTTATGTTTATGTATGTATATGTATTTGCATATGTGCATGTATGCCCTGTGAGTGCTGGTGCCTCCCTTAGAGGCCAGATACAGATTCCCTGGAGCTAGAGTTATAGGCCATTGTGAGCTGCCCAGTATGGGCAAAGGGACCTGAACTATGGTCCTGTAGAAGAGCAGCAAGGACTCTTAACCCCTGAACCATCGCTCCAGTTCCTCCTATACACATTTTTAAATTTATTTTATTTTAATTGAATTTTTGTGTATTTCATACAGAAAATCATCTTTATATCCCCTTTCCCTTTGGCACCCTCCTATAGCACCCCCACTGGAGTTCATACATTCTGTCATTTGTGTAAAGTCAGTGTCCCCAGATGTCCCTCAGTGCAAGTTCATCCACTGGGGTTTAGTCAGCCTATCTAGAGTTCCTCCCTGTAAGAAGATCAGCTCTTCCTCACCCAGCAATAATCAGCTGCCAATAATTCTTCAACTAAGATTGGGGCCTGCTGTTCATTTCCACAGTTCTGTCCTGGGTTTTTGTCTGCTTAATTTTGTGTGGGTCTTGTGCATGCTGACACCATTGCTGTAAGTTCATATGAGAAGAGTCCCAGGAGTCTGTAGGACTATTTCTGTATGGTCGTGTACCTCCTCCCTGACTCTTTCTGGTATACATTTTAAGTTGACATGTGAAGGTTCAGATTGTGAGTAGTTCTGTGCTCTGGGGCAAGTTTGTTAACTTCTCCAAGTCTTGGTTCTCTTATCAGGCACATAGGGGCATTATGAGTAAGAGCTTTTGAGGAATGCCCTTCAGTCAGCACCTGGCACTTGTAGGTATCACAGAGTAACCATTACTGTGATTGACACTGATCCCCTTTACCTCCTGTCCTGTGTATCCCAAACACCTACCTCCACAGAACCCCTCTAGGCTTGTATCAGTTTCCTTCCTGCTGTATTTTCTCATAGGTCTGAGACCCTTTTCTCCTGCATTGCCTGTGGTGTTTGGTGCACACTTTGACTTCAGTCAGCAGCTGCTGAGCATCTTGGTCCAGACAGAAGCTTCCTTGAGTATTGGGCCTGGAGGTTTCCTTAGTCCCCTGGAGCAGCTCCTGGGTGAATTCCCATAGGAATCCTGCATGGTGCTCATTCCTTTCTGCCTGTATCATTGGCTTTTTCTGTATCGTGGCGGGGGTGGGGGGAGCATACATGTGCATGTGTATGCACATGTGTGTGGAGGTGAGAAGACAATCTAGGTTGTCCTCAGGTGCCTTCCACTTTTTGTTTGAGACAAATTCTCTCCCTGACCTGGTAACTTATAGGTTAGGCTAGGATGTCTGTCTAGTGAGCTCCAGGGAGTCACCTGTTTCCATCTCCCCAGCACTGGATTACATGTATATACCACCACGCTGGGTGGGCCATGTTCCTTGCCACTGTGACTGGCTGACTTTTCTCAATCTGTCTAATGGGAGAAAAAGGCAGAGGTTGAATCTGGCTGGCTGAGGCCTGTTTCTGCCTCTTGCTGTGAAGTTCTTGATGTATTAGAATAACTGGGTCAGATCCAACTAGTCTTTCCCAGAGGCTCTCTGCAGGTGAGGGTGCAGGTCCTGGCCACTCTAAGAACAGTGATCTTTCCTGTTCCTCCAACCAGAAGTTTCTACACACAGCCTTTCCAGAAGGTCTTGATGTAGCTGCCTCTCTTCTACTCTGAAACCCAGAGCCAAACCCCACACTCTGCCTCTCACGGGCCACTCAGTCCACTGGAAAGGTCCTCTGTCACTGTAATACTGAGCTTCTCAAGGGAGCACCCTGTCCACAGCAGATGCGGTGTGTACTCTGAAAAGAAAGCTAAGCTTGCTATCATGCGTGGCAGTGTGTGGTTATAGGCAGAGACTCAGTTCCTGAATTATAAGAGTTTCAAGCTTGTTTCTGTTTTCCAGCTGTAGGACTCTGTGTGAGTTACTAGACCTCCCAGTGCCTGTTTGTTCATCTGTAAAATGAGATGTTTAAGCTTTGTATGGGATGGGATTGATGGGAGTGAGTTCACATTCAAAGCCCTGAGAGGAATGTAGCCTTAGGGGTTTGGATAGGCAGAGAGGCAAGGACAGGATATTCTGGGAAGGCATAGAGGCAGGCTAGCTCGTGGGTCTACACAGAGGATGAAAGTTAAGACAGTCTGCCCCGGGAGTCTCCGTGGTGCCATGGCCTGGCCTGGCTCTCAAGGCTGGTTTCTCTTCCCCAGGTTCAGCCATCGCGTATTCTGCATACACATTCCCGGACGCACTGGTGTGCAGCACCTTCCATGACTACTATGTGGTCCTGGCTGTGGTGAACACCATCCTCAGCACTGGCCTCTCCTGCTACTCCAGGTACCGGGCACTCTGACCTCAGGCGGGAAGCCAGGGAGGGCCTAGCATTTGTTTCCATGGGTGTTTGAGGTCAGCAGAAGAGGTGGACTCAACAGAAAAAGGCCCTGGGAGCCTGGCTTCAGGCAGAGCCCTTGCTGTGGAATGTATTGGTTACTTTCCTCATTGTTAGGACAAAACAACTGAAAAAGCAACTTAAAGAAAGGTTTGCTTTAGCTCATAAAGGATGCAGTCCCTCATGGTGGGGGAGCCTTGGTGGCAGGAGCAGGAGGCAGCTGGTCACATTGTATCTACAGTTGGGAAGCAAAGAGATTAATGCTGGTGCTCAGCTTGCTTTCTCCTTTTTATTCAGTCCAGGACCCCAGACCATGGCATAATGGCACCCACAGTTAGGGTGGATCTTCCCACTTCAATTAATCTAGTCTAAAAACCTCCCCTACAGAGATTTATCTACATGGTGATTCTAGATTCTGTCAAGTTGACAATTTCAACTATTACCCTGGGCATCATGGGTACCACCTGGACAGCCACCCAGTCCTCTGATTAGAAAAGCCTACTTATGTCTCTATACTCTGAAATTCTTCATGACATGAACAAGACAATCCCTACACTTTAATTTTTTTCATAGCACCTACAAATTTTAGCGTTGACCTTATTGTTTCAGCAAGTCACATGTCCACCTTGAACTTCAGTTTGCCAACCTATACAGTGGGTCCAACACAACTCCCTTCTGGATGGAAGACCCCAGGTCTTGCAGCCAGGATGCCTTGCACAAGCCTGGATAGAGAAGGTTCCTCTGTAAATAGGCAGCCCCCCACTCAGAGTGATGGGTAGATGGCATCTAGGTACATGTGATGAATAATGGAGGGTATTCAAATGTGGCCACGAATCATGCACAGTTCACTGCTCACTGCCTCTAATCCTGATATTTTTTTCCCTTTTCATTCACGGCTTCTTGGGGCCTGAGTGTGAGCAGCGTTGTCATGGGGATGGCTGTGCTAGCTCCCTCTGCTCTTTGCAGGCCTGAACACCCTGAAAGTACAGTCTCCCTCAGTCACTTAAGAAACCTTCTAAGTGGTTGTGGCAAGATGACAGCCCTGTCCAGATAGTGTCACCATGCCAGGAGGTAGCAGATCAGGAAAGGCATCTAGGTTGCATCTGAGTCCCCTGCCCCTCTACCTGCAATCATATTCAACCTTTGCAGCGCTCCACTGTCCCTTCTCCAGGGAGAAGGCAGAGAGTATGTGTGGAGGGATGGTGGTGGTAATCTTTGCCTGCTCCTAGATAGTTTCGGGTCTAGCTTCCTCTAGATGACACTTAGGCTTGGGGTATCCTGCCAAACTGGTTTTTTAAAATGTGGGAGGATAGATGCTTAAACAGCATCAGGAAGGTTTATTCTAGCTTGCCCTCCAGTTGTCTGGTAGTCCAAGTCAGGTGGGAGGCAAGCGTGGGTTGCTGTCTGTGGGAGTGAAAATCTCTTGCTAGGCATGTCTCACACTGGGTTTTGTATGGCTTCATCCCTGGGAAATTGCTGGGGGTGGGGAGGGACTCTCTTATCTTCTTGGAAATTACACAGTTCCCTGAAAGCTGGGAGGAGATTGGATCTACCTGCAAGGGTAGGAAATAAGGTCCCTTGCCCTGGGTTACTGTGTCTTTCTCAGTTCCTTGGGAATTAAACTGTGTGGTATGCAGCCTTCACACCAGGTTGGGAACTTGGGGACTCCACAGGTGGAGAAAGGAGTCAGGTCCCTATCTTGGGTGAGACAAGCTGTAGCAGACATAGTTAGAACTGTGTTCAGGACACCAAAAGAGATGCTGCATATCTGGGTGGCCTTTTGCCTGGATGTATGTGCTGCTGGGTGGGCCTAGCCCATGAGCTTGGACACCTTTGGAGCTGGTCCTCGAACCATTTAGTGCCCCTGTCTGGTTGGTTCTTAAGGACTCTATGGCCCTGTTGTTCAGATCTGCATATTAGAGGGAGGCAAGCACTGTGGGAGGGTCATGGAGGCTGCGGTGGCTCATGGGTGTGGAAGAAATAATCCCTGGAGTTAATGGGCCAAGACTGCTTCCCCAGAAGAGCCCACAGTGCAGCTCCTGAGGATATTTGCAGCCTTTCCTTTTTTTTTTTTTAAGCTCTTGACCCAACCTATAAGACAACAGTGTACATTACTTTTCTTTTGGTCCAGAGTCCCCCCCAACCATGCATGTATAGTGGTGGGTGTTGTGGATTCTCCATGCTTGGTGTATTTGAATCAACATGTTTGGCAGCTGGGCCAGAAATGTCCTGTGTGTCCATGTTTAGAGACTTCTCCCCTTGACAACAGAACAACTCATTTCTGTTTATGTCTAGAGCACATCTGGAGCTATTGCACCCTCTGACATGCCCAACATTCAGCACAGGCTGCCTGGGCTCTGGGTACCACATTAAGAGTCTGCCATGCCTGGTAGAGTGAGTTCCTGTCCTTGTCCTCAGAGGCTGCTGCCCGCAGAAGAGGCAGGTCACAGATCCCCTAGAGAGTCTGGGAGGAAGCTACTATTGCCTTCAGAGTGAAGCAGGACAGAGTGCAAGGGAAGCAGGCAGTGTCAGTGATACCCTCTTGAACATGCAGGGCCCTTACAGCTGGCTTCAGGACTCACAGGGTGTGAGGGAGAGCTGAAGATGAGGAAGGGCCTTGGGGCAGAGCAGTCTGGACAAAGGTGACAGTGGGAGAGGATGGACAGGCCCTGGAGCAGCAGCAAGGAGCTTCAGGAGGAAAGGAGAATGTCTGGACAGGACATGGGGGCGGAATGGGGGATGCTCTCCAAGGACCACCTTTTGCTCTTCCCAGACCGTGATCTCCTGGGCTCCTCTTTTTGGGCTCGATTTCCACTCCCAAGGACCTTTGAGATTATGTCATCAACTGGGTGGGGTCTAGTGCCACAAGACTTGAGAGGGGAGCTGAGTGAATGTGTGTCCTCTTTCTGTGCGGTGGGTCGTGATCCATGACCTGACCTGCTCCTTCTGCCCAGCAGTCCAGAGGATGTCCTTCTTTGCTGTAGATTTTCCTTTCAACATGTCTGGCATTTATTTCTGTGTGGTTTAGTGTATATTGAGACAGAGTCTCACTATGTAGCCCTGGCTGGCCTGATACCCACTGTGTAGCCTAAGGTAACCCTGAACATGCAGCAACTCTCTCTTTAGCCTCCCGAGTATAGGATTACAGACATGTGCCATCTCCCCCAACTTTCATCAATTTGGCGGGGGAGGTGGGGGAGACAAAATCATTGAGTGAAATTCCCCATGGTCAGTATGGTGGCTGGCAGAAGGCCATCTGGGTTAAGAGAGGAAAGTCTCTGAGATATAGAAGGGTGTAAGTCAGCCTCGAAAGGGCTGGGAGTCAGAGCTGGGGCAACAGTTCTCACACACTTCTGGAGGCTGGAGCACTTCAGCTAGGTGGCAGAGTGTTTCAGGAGCCAGGATCTGGCTCCCAAAATGGCCCCCTTCCTGTGAATTTCCAAACTAGGATACGACCCAAGCACACTAGCAAGACAACACACACACACACACACACACACACACACACACATGCAATAGAGTTAACTTTCCCAATTATCCACTTGCATCAGGAACTAGTTTTGGAATTTCAGTTGCTAATGCTTACAACTGGTTACAAGATTTATTGCATCAACCTGGTTAATCTTAAATATTAAGGCTTCTCCCTAAATCCAGTGTTTCCTCCTCACCTTGTCCTCAGCAGAGGAGTCCTGGCTTCCTGTAACCTGTCCTCTCAACCCCACTGCACAGGAATGCCATAGCAGGCTGCCCATGGGACACTTTTGTGTAGGTTGTTTGGAGGAGTCTGTGATTATAGCTACTGGCCCCTGGAATCTCTGGCTGTGGTGACACCCTGTGGCTGAATGTGGAATTGCACCTTGGGAGTGGGACCTATCTCTGTGGTTAACGGCTCTTGTGCTTTTTATTTTTATTTATTTATTTATTTTTTTGCCTCTGTTGCTTTTCTCTCTCCTATTCTGCTTTTTCTCCTTTTTGTCCCCTTGTAGACTCAGCTTTGCCGCTGGAGAGGCTGGTCCGTTTGCCCCTGGGGAAGCACTTTATCAGGCCGGGTGACATGTGGTCTCAAGTCGCAGGAAACCCATGCTTTGGGGGACAGCCCTTGCCAGCCAAAGCCAGGTTTTCTTCCAGTGTAAGTGGCCACAAGGAGCACTGTAGGGGTGAGCCTCTGTCCCAGACATGGCAGGTGCACAGAGGGCAATGCCTGCTGGGGTTGTGGGAATGTGTTTCTTTTGGCCCCTGGGCCAGCAGGTTCAGAGAAAGACAGAGGCCGGGCCTGGTGGGGCCAGGCAGGGGCAGTGTGACAGTTGGGATGCAGACATCTTAAGTTAAATCCTGGCTGTGCCTGTTCTTAGCTCCTCTTACTCCATCCATCCAGAACCTGTCTGTTCCCTTCTGCTCTTATTCTCTGTTCCAACATGGCAATGAGATGGGAAGAGAATTTTTTTTTCAAAGATAGATTTAGAAACTGGGCTATGCACATTTCTAAACACCTTTGGGGCCTCTTTTCTTCAAGTCCTTTTAACAACACTGTGAGGGAGGGACAGTCATGGACCCCAGGTCACACACGCAGCTTCAGAGGTAACCTATTGTAGCTGCATGGTTCTGATATGTATTAGAACCCAGTGTGTCCCTATGAAACCAGAGCACTGCTCTGCCTCCTTTCCCTGGATATTGTAGTGTCATCAAGGTGACTGGGTTTTGGTTTTGGTTTTGGTTTTTGAGACAGGTTCTCCTTTAGCCCAGACTGCCATCAAACTCACTGTGTAACTGAGAATGACTTTGAACTTAGGATCCTCTTGCCTCTATCTCCAAGTGCTAGAATTACATGCAGGCATCATCATGCCCAGTTTATGAGGTGCAGGGATAGAACCCAGGGCTTTGTACATGCTAGGCGAGCACTATAACAACTGAGCTACATCCCCAGCCCCAAAGCTTCAGTTTTGTGTGGCGTCTCCTTGCCTGACCCTTTCTTCTTGATGGTCCAGCCTGGTATCTCTTCTGCTTGGCTCCCATCCCCTCAGCTACTGCCCCTCTCCAGGTCAGCAGAGGCCCCATTGTGACCTGTCTAGGAAGTTCTGACTGTCTTCACAACAGTCAGCACAACAGTCAACACAGTGGGTTCCCATTGGATTCTGTCTTTGTATTGGAGGGGAGTGGGGGAGAGGTCATGGAGGAGCAAAGGAAAGGCCTCATGCTCACTTTCCCCAGGCCAGCATTCCTGTGCATGGTAAACATTCCAGAAACTTCTCTGGGTGACCCAGTACCCCCTTGAACCCAGGATGTGCATGGTCATCCCCTGGGTGACTCCAATTGATCAGGTACATCTCAGCTTCTGCAGAATGTGCACCCTGGGGTATATGCCTGGGGGGTCCCTCCATGACCCGGTGGTGCCTGGACTTTTCAAAGTTCCTTACAGTTCAGTCCTTTAACCTTCGCAAAGTTTCTGCCCGGAGCCTCCCCTGGCTTGCTCTGCATACCATCGCTCTGTATGATAACAGGACAAGTTTCTCAGACATCTTCCTTCGCATCTGAGGTGTTGTCATTCCCACCAGGGTAGGAGGAACGAAAGAGGCTGGTGGAAAAGCAATGGTCGGCAGAGGTTGTGTAAAAATGCTGGTTCTGTCAATGACGGCCTACGTGTTAGTTTCTGAGACTCTTATCACTCCCATTTCTTCCCCATTTCAGGTTTCTTGAAATCCAGAAGCCCGGGCTCTGCAAGCTGCTCCGGGTCCTCGCCTTCGCCTACCCCTACACTTGGGACTCCCTCCCCATCTTCTACAGGGTAAGCATGCAGGGCTGCTATCTCCTTTCTCCCTGTCAGCCATGCCAAGGGCCTGGTTATTTCCTGAGCCTCTGAATGAATCAGAGTGTCATGGTGGGCACTGGGGGACTCACAGGAGTCAAAACCTGGGTGCTGTCCAGTGGCACTTGAACTGTGGTTGGAGACAGTATGGATGGACACAGAGGCCATGGCAGGCAATCTAACTGAGGGCTTGGAACAACTGCAGAGAGCTGGGCAGGGCGGGCAGAGGAAGAGAGAAAGAGAGCAGGCTTTGGAGGCAATCTAAGGCTGTCTGTCATTCATCAGGCAAGTTCTCTGTGCCTTGGTATTCCTAGTCTAGAAAATGAACATGATGGTTGACACTTATGGGGGTTAGAAGGATGGCGTGAGGTAAGATCAGTGGTAGCAGGGGTTAAAGACCAGTGCATGCATGATTGTATATTATCATTAATGCGCTTTTGTTAGTGAAGGAAAAGATGGGAATGAAAGCCTTAAATGAAGGAAAAGTACAAAGGAAGACAGGTGAACAGGTCCAGAAGGGAAAGCTTCACTTGCAAGTCAGATGGGCCTGAGTTCAAACTTCAGCCCTCCTGGTTACTCACTGTGTGATTAAGCAGTGCACATGACCCCTGAGCCTCAGCTTCGTCTGTGAATGAGGCTAGCCTCTGTTTCCTCTAGAAGCTAATGATGATTTGTAGATACAAAGGATCTGATGGGTTCAGCAGTTCCTGGCACATGGCCAATGCCCTGTGAGTGGTCTCCCAGAGGCAATGTGAGGCCCAGATGGCAAGGCCTGGGAATTCAGGGGAGCAAAGATCTTGTTCTACTCAGCACTTGGGGTGTTGAGCATGTGCTCTGTGTTCCCCCTGACTGGGTCTGGGAGGACTCAGGGTGGGGATGTAGCCCAGCACTCTGCTTCATGGAGGGAGTGTAGCAGACACAAATGGGGAACTGGACGAGGCAGCAAGCCAGGACAGCACACCACAATTATGTCTAGATTATGCTGGTTAGTGGCTGCAGTAGACAGAGGACAGGAGGTTGCTATGTGAATACCAGTTGTCCTGCTTGGGTTCTGATATTCACGTCACTGCTTATTGGTGGTTTTCAAGTCAATCTCGGGCTCACTTTCCTTGTGTGCAAATTGGGGAATTAGAGTCTGCCTTAGGGTTTTGTGATGGTTTGAATGAAAATGTCCCCCATAGGCTCCAAGTTTTTGGACATTTTGTCCCCAGATGGTAGAGCTGTTTTGGGAGATTTTAGTAGGTGTGGCTCTCCTGGAGGAAGCACATCACTGGGGGTGGGCTTAGAGAGTTTTTAAGCCTTGCCTGATCTCCAGTTGCTCTCTTGTTTCCTGTGCCTGTGTGATGCTGTGAGAGCTTAGCTTACACTGCTCCTGCTCCAGCCACCTCTGCCACCATGCCTCCACACCAAGACAGACTGTAATTCCCTGGGAACCATAAGCTCAAATAAACTCTTCCTTTTATAAGTTGTTTTGGTCCGTGTTTCTACCACAGCAACAAAAAAGTGACTAACACAGTAAAAGGTACCAGGAGTGGGGTGTTGGCTGTGAAGAACCAGACCATGTGGGGTTTTGAAGAAATGTGGAAGACTTTGAAAGGGCCAGAAAAGCAGTTGATTCCTGTAAGTGGAGCTTAACAGACCATTCTAATGGGTGCCTGGAAGAAAGTAGTGCTGAGAACAATGTAGTTCCAGAGGGAAATAAGGACTTAAGCAGCACTTGAGATATTTTGGCAAAGAGCCTGACTGGAGTCTGCCCTTGACCAAAAAGCTTGCCTGAGGCTAAGTTGAAAAGCAATGAACTAGTTTCTCTGGCAGAAGAAATTTCAAGACAGCCTAATGTAGAAATGGTGGCATGAGTATTCATGGTGAATGTTATGCAGATTTACAATGAAAAAGAGCAGATGGGGCAGAAAGAAATACAGTTTGGATTGAAAAACAGCACTAGGAAGACAAATGTTGGAGCCTTGGCCTGTGCTGGAGAGGATCCTTTTGATAAGGAGATTAAAGTGATTAAGGAGGGACCTAGAGATTCAAACTTAAACAATTGAGAGAATGCTTCGAGGGCAAGACCACACCCAGTTAAGCCTCCAATTTGTGAAAGGAAAGTGTTGCAGGGACCACTGAAGAGAAAAGCTTCTAAAATGGATAAAGCAGGCTGGAGTCCATCCCAAACTTGCAGTCAAACTTGGCAGTGTCGTTCACCTGGTGCTGGCTTTAGAGGCATGAAAGATGCCAGAGTGAAGGGGTCACCAATTCTTCCTCTGAGTTTTCAGAGAGCTGCTTAGGCAGCATTCAGGGATTCCCCTGTAAAAAGAAGGCCCTGATAGGCCATTGCATGAAGCTGTGAAGGTGAAGCCTGGTTGGCAATGGAGACCTCAAGAAGACGTTCTTGATGCCAGAGCTGTGAGGCATTGCCAAGAAGACCTGCACACAGGGAGTGGTACCAACCCAAGAGAAAGATGTATGTTGCGTGCAGCAAAGCTGGAGAGGCTGAGCCATCTAAGCCCTTTGAAGTAAAGTCCCAGAACTCAGACATGGAGCTACTGGATTTTGTGTTTGTCCTGCTGGGTTTTGGTCTTGTTTTGGTCCTGTATTTCCTTACTATGCTTCTATTCCTCCCTTTTGGAATTCGAATGTGTATTCAGTTCCACTGTATGTTGGTAGTATGTAATTTGTCTTTTGATTTTACATGTGGCTTACAGTTAAGATATTTCCGAGTCTCAGAAGAGACTTTGGACTGTAGACTTTTGAACAGTATTGAGACTGAGAATGACTATGGGGACTTTTAAAGTTGAACTAAATGTGCCAGGCGTGGCAGTGCACGCCTTTAGTCTCTGCACTCAGGAGGCAGAGGCAGGTGGATCTCTGTGAGTTCAAGGCCAGCCTGGTCTACATAGTGAGTTCCAAGACAGCTGGGGCTACAGGGAGACCCTGTCTCAAAAAGACCAAAAAAAAAAAAATTTGGACTAATGCATTTTGCATTTTATATGGTTATGAGCCTATGGGGGCCAGGGGGTAGAATGTGATGGTTTGAATGAAATATCCCCCATAGACTCCAAGTATTTGGACATTTTGTCCCTAGATGATGACGCTGTTTTGGGAGGTTTTAGAAGGTGTGGCTATCCTGGAGGAAGCATGTCACTGGGGGTGGGCTTAGAGAGTTCTTAAGCCTTGCCAGATCTCCAGTTGCTCTCTTGTTTCCTGTGCCTGCTGGAAGATGTAGAGCTTAGCTTCCACTGCTCCTCCTCCTGCCACCTCTGCTGCCATGCCTCCCCACCAAGATGGTCTGTAATTCCCTGGGAACCATAAGTTCAAATAAACTCTTCCTTTTATAAGTTGTTTTGGTCAGTGTTTCTCTCACAGAAACAGAAAAATGACTAATACAGGTTTTCACTGAAGCTTAGACAAAGTGATGCATGTAAAAGGCATGGTCTGGTGCCCCAATAAGTGGAGATTACTATCATTATTTATAACAATAATACCAATAATACAAGATACTCTACTTAAGGGCTCAAGAGGTAGTTCAGTGGCTAAGAGCACTGGCTGGTCTTGCAGAGGTCCTGAGTTCAGTTCCAAGAACCCACATGACAGCTCACAACTGCCTGTAACTTCAGCTCCATGGGCTCTTCTGGCCCCTGTGAACACCAGCACTCACTTGCATACACACACACACACACACACACACACACACACACAC